AATTGTCATTCAATGCAGGAAATCTGGATGCAAAGACTTCATGGTAACTGCTGTGGCAAGAGCTGGCCAAATTAACTTGGAAGCAGCTGCTTGTGTATTTTTTAGTCTGGACTCAATTGGATTTTCTACAGCAACAGCAGTTGGTTGAATAAGTCCAATACAAGATTTGTCCAGGTGTGGAACTTGTGATTTTCTCCTAGCAGGAGTGTAAATACAGGAGATGGCAGGGATACAATGAGGGCATGAGGTCTCTATCCTTGTAGCAAAATCATGAACTCTTTATGTCTCTGAGAATTTTAGGATATAATAGTAAAGACTTATATTGTGGAACCAACAAGAATTTGCCTCTTAAATCTCAAACTGGCGTTCCTCTTGTTGACCTAATGAGGTAGTATGCCTTAGATATAATTTCATCCTAATATCTGAGTTAATACTATTATTCTGCGCCTTGTTTATCACATTTAGAGGGCTCTCCATGGGACTGTCAAACAGCATCAAAGAAATCTAAAAGAGAAAGAAAAATACCACCCCTCAGGCTCACAGACATTGTGTAGAGATATTGTGTGACGATAATTCAGAAGTGAGGGATCAATTTCCTAGGAAAAAGATTTCTGTCCTGCTTTGTGCCTGGATAGAAATGTCGAGTGTTACCATTTTAAAGATTGCACGCTGACTATCACAACAGATTTAGATTTCTTGATTAGCTTTAAGATTCTGCAGATCAATTCTGGTAAAAGATGATGTCAAGGTATGAGAACTCTTTTAATATATGCATTCAAGTGTCTTTCACCCACTCCATGACCATAAGATTGCTTCTTGCCATTTAAACATGACATTTATATTTCACCCTTCAAACAGGAGTAACCTAACACAGACAGTTTGGAAATGATTTGTTGTGAAAATACAACTAAAGTGAATCAACGGATGCTGCTGAGCCGGGAGTTAAAAATACAAGATGCATTAGTTTAGGGTTTTTGATCAGATAAAAGAAATACATGTCAGATGCCATTAAAATGAAATCAAAACTGAATCTGGTTCGTGGTTAAGACACATACACTGTGGACAGTAATTTCCATCTGGCTGATGAAATCCCTTTTTCTTTGGTTTGTTATAAAATCTTAATAAGTTCCAGTAATTCTCTATCACGATTGTGTGATTCCGAACTATGGAAAACAACTACCCAAACCTGGATGAATTTAGTCATTACCAGAAATAAAAAAAACATGGCACAGAATACCAATAAACGTGCTGGAACAACAGAATGAATTTTCAATGGGAAATGTACAATTTTAGGCAAAGGAACATTACCTTAGGCAGTGGTTTCTTCTTCGCACAGTTGATCCCCCCTACAAAGACCATGTTGGGCATCACTGGCCTGACGTATTCAAACACAAAGTCAAACCTCAGGATCCAAATGGCAGCGGAGTTCACCAGGTCCATCAGGGACATATCCCTCTGAAGAACTTCTGAGGAAAGCTTAAGCGCTTCTCCATAGAAACCGTTGCAGTAATCAAGCTCCAGGAGGGAAATCAGGGCATTTTCCACCCTCTGGAAAAAAGTCATGCGGTCCGAGTTGAAGCTGAAGAGTCTTGGGACGTAGGACAGAGGGCTTGGGCTCTGTGGGGCTGAAAAGTGCAGGTTGCAAGGGAATCCCCTCATGAAGAAGACAAAGGGAAGGGAGAGATGATGAGCCAGGATGGCCCCACACATGAGGATAGGATCCGTCAGGATGGCATCAAATCTGCTTTGGTTGAGGAACCTCAGGGTTTCCTGGCTGTGGAACAGGTCCTTGCACTGTCCAAAAAAGATGCCTGTAGCGTGCACCGAGGCATTGTACATGGCCAGGGCATTGAGAGGGAAAGGCTTCGGTGTCAGGTGCACGGCGAGGTATTCCTGGAAGGCATTTTCCAGCTCTTCCAGGGTCTGGCTCACCGGGTACGTGACCACCTTGTAGGCCTGCGTGGTCTCCATTTGCCAGCTCACCTCAGGAACCAGCACCACCACCTCGTGTCCTCTCTCGCTCAGCTTCTCCACCACTTCCTGCATGCTCAGCCAGTGGCTTCCCACCATGGGCACCACCAGGAGCTTCCCTCCATCCGAGAGGCCAGGCAGGAGGAGGAGGATGGGAATCCAGGCACAGCAAAGCCTCAAAGCCATGTTGCAGTGGCGCAGTAGGGGCCGTAGAAAAGATTTCTCCTGCAGGCTGTAGCCTGAAGATTCTTTGGAAAGCAACTGATGGCCGGAGTTGTTGAGCTCTTCTCTTTGATTGTCCTGTTGTTAATCATTCACTGCTTTGCATTGTGGGTAGTTTATTTTGCCTTTCCCCTCCTTACTTGGAAAGGCAAGATTTGGTGACCTCTTCAATGCTGAGTCACTGGAATTCATCAAAGTTCCATGAGCTCCTCAACGTGCTACAGGGATCCCTCAGGACTCCTCACCTTTGTTGTGCCTTGTGTCCCACCTTGGCCAGGACCCAGGGAGCAACATTGGTGTGAGCAACTCCCAAACCCACAGGAACAAATGAAAAAGAGCCTCTCCCAGTTGGACACACAGATCCTCAGGTGATTCTTCCAGGGATGGAGCACGAGACCCTCAGGAGAAGGCTCAGGGCTCTTCTGAGCTGGCAGGAATCTCCTCAGTGCCAGGGACACCTCTAAGAGGTGCTGACAGGGGCTGGCCTCTCTCTGTACAGACCAAGCTCTCAATTTACAGAGTCGTTTCCCAGCCTGGCAGGTGGCCCCTGGCTGGCTGGAAACTCCTCCCCACCAGGATTCAAACCAGCACTAAATGAGTTTTAGCAACCTCTGGAAGCTCAGGTTTCAGACCTGACTCAGCAAAGGAGCAGCTTCAGCACAAACGTGATTTCCCCGGCCTCACAGCAATGTAACTGATGGCAAAATTAAAAATGTTGCACCCCTGGATATTCAGAGGCACACAGCCTCCATGCCTCAGGCACACAAGTTCTCTCCTCTCCCTTCATGCCATGGTCAATGCACCACAATGTACTGCATATTGTTTTCCGCATACCAGCATTATTTATTTGTTTTTCCTCTTTTACCCATGTCTTTCATTATTTCTACTGGGAAGGTGGCAGAGAGCAGTTTTATGTCAGGATGGCTTTCCAGAAAACCAAATTTTTTAGTGTCAGAGTAGGGGGAGAGAAGCTCTGAGGTAAAAGAGACTAAAACACTCTCTGAATCTTCTACTATGAAACGCAAAGGAAAAACATCATAGTAACAAGTACTAAATATGGTCAGAATTTTCTAAAGCACACTCAGAACTGGGCATTGGGAAGCAGACCTGTTTAGAAAACACAACGTTCTCACAAAGAAACGTTAATTTCTGTATTTTGTGATGGGCACCCAGGTGTTTGCTGAAGCGGGATTAGGAGAGGGTTGGCAGGGAAATGTCCTGCCCTCCCCTCCCTCCTGCTGCAGGATGGATTTTCCATCCAAACCTTCAGCATGAGGTGTGGGTGCAAAGGCAATCCCAGGACTGCTGAAGTTAATCAGTACCTCAGTGTTTGTGAACTGGTCAGAGGCTCACTCTGTTGGCCTGGTTATCCCAGGTTATCCCACCCAGGAATTCTGGAATTTGCTGGGTTCAAGGCAGTACAAGATCAAAGTCGCTTCCTGCTGACACCTGAGCAAAGGGACAGGGGAAAGGCTGGATTTGGGTGAAAAGGCACAAATTTGGGGGCAGCCCTGTCCAGGGAGGAGTAACAGAGCTGGGGAAGGGATTAAAAACTCTCCTGAGCTGAGGGAACTGGGGGTGTTTATGGAGAAAAGGAGGCTCAGGGAGGACCTTGTCATGCTCTACGTGTCCCTGACAGGAGCTAGAGTGGGATCGGTGTGTCTTGCTGTGTCCAAAGGGAAAGATGAGAGGAGATGGCCTCAAGTTGTGCCAGGGGAGCTTCAAAGTGGGTATTAGGGAAAAAAAACTCACTGGAGGAATGGTGAAGCAATGGAATAATTTGACCAGGGAGGTGGTGGAGTCGCCATCTCTCAAGTGTCCTGGAGGAGCCTGGATGTGGCACTTGGGGTCGTGGCTTAGGGGTGACCATGGCAGTGCTGGTGTGAGGCTGGGACTGGGTGATCCTGGAGGTTTTTTCCAAGCTGGATGATTCTGTCAGCAGCAGGCTGGCCCATGCCAGGCTCAGGAATGATTAGGGAATACTCAGGAGGGAATTCTTAGGGTAGCTACAACACACCAGCAAAGGCTGGAATAAATCCATGACTGGCGATCCCAAACTACCTCTTATAAATCCATGACAAGAGATCCCCAAGCCCCTTTAATAAACACATGGCAGGAGATGTCCAATCCCTCTAATCAATCCAGTCTGAGATGCCAAAACTGCTATAATAAATTTACGAAAGGAGATCCCAAATCATTCTAATAAATTCATGACAGTAGATACCTAAGCCCCTCTAATGAACCCATGGCAGGCGATCGCCAAACCTCTGTCATAAATCCATGATTGGAGATCCCAAAATCCTTTATTAAACTCATGGTAGGAGATCCCAAACCCTCCTACTATATCCATGAAAATAGAACCCCAAACCGTTCTAACAAATGCAGAAAGAGATCACCAAACCCCTCTAAGAAACCCATCAAAAGAGAGCCCCAAACATCTCTAATAAATCCATGCCAGGAGATCCCAAAACCTTTCCAATACAACCATGGCAGGATATTCTAAATGCCTGTAATAAATGCACGACAGAAAACAAGAGTTTGAAAGAGGGAGCTGGTCTTTGTAGAAAGCCAGGATGGTTTGTGTTGGAAGGCATCTTAAAGCCCATCCCGTTCCACCCCGTGCCATGGCCAGGGACACCTTCCACTATCCCACATCGCTCCAAGCCCTGTCCAATCTGGACACGGACACATCCAGGGGTGAGGCAGCCACAGCTTCTCTGGACAACTTGTGTCAGAACCTCACCATCCTCACAGGGAAAAATTTCTTCCCAATATCCTGTCTAATCCTTTCCTCTAGCAGCTTAAAGTCACTGCCCTTGTGCCAACACCTCCGGTTCTCGAAAATAGTCTCCCTCCTAGACAGAGATAAGATACATCCCTTCAAATACCTCACCTGGACCATGCAGGTGTGTGAGTGCCACAACCTCTGCCAGGCTGCCAGCCACTGACCTGAGATAAGGGCTTCTTCCTCTCTCCACAGTGAATGCCTCCAATGAAAACCATGTTGGGCATGACAGGCATGGGATACTCAAAGACAAAGTCGATTCTCCTCAGCCAGATGGATCCGTGACTTAAAATCTCCGTCATTGTCATGGGTTTTTGGAGGAACTCTGAGGCCAGCTCCTCAAACTGAGAATAGGCAATATTGCAGATGAAGGACTCGGAAAGGGCAATCAGGAAGTTCTTGACCCTCTGGGAGAAGGTCATGTGGTCGGTGTTTTCTGAGAACCCCCGTGGGACGTAGGACGGCGGGTCCGGGCCCTGAGCCGTGCGAACCTCCAAGGCACACGGAACCATCCGCAGGAAGAAAACACTGGGGATGGAGAAGTGCAGGGCAATGATCTGCCCACAGGGTGATGCAGGATCTGTGAGCAGGGCATCAAAGTGACCCTCTCCAATGTACTTCAGCAGCTCTTGGTTGTGCAGCAATGACTTACATGAAGCATGAAAAAGCGTTCCGCTCTGCCTGTACTCCAGCAAAAGCCTCCAGAATCTCACCAGGAAATGTTCTTGGCTGAAAGATTTTTCAATGAAGGTGCGTACGTGTTCTTCCACATCCTTCTTCATCAATGGCACAGAGTAGGTTTTCAGTTCGTAGACATCCGACTAATTGATCAGGATTTTGTTGTCTGGTGCGATGACCACGATTTGGTGCCCTCTCTTGCTCAGCTCCATCAGCACTTTTTTCATGCTGAGCCAGTGGCTGCCATCCATGGGGATCACCAGCAGCCTCCCAGCGGCAGCCGGGCTCAGGAGGCACAGGAAGGGCAGAAGCAGTGCCACCAGCATGGTGTGAGCCATGCAGAGTGGAAGCCTGGCAGCAGAGAGGCCAGGAGTGCTCGGCCAGCTTTGCAGCCATGCTCCACCCCTGCCCTTCTGAGTCTCCTCCCATTTCAGGTCATCAGATCTTTGCACCAAGGTCACAGAAAGCAATCAATGATCAGGGAGGGTTCAAGGCAAGTTGGGACTTCAAAGGCTGAGTTGTGAGAGTCAAGAAAAGTGCGTCACTTTTACACACGCCAAGCTGAGGTGATTGGTTCCATGCCACCTTCTTCCCTCAGCAGGACCCCAGCTTTGTAGCACTTCCTGCCACCAGCCCACCATGCCCAAGGTCCCTGGTGTTACATTTTAGTTAAATGGTATGCCCCGTCTAACCCCTCAAAAATGTGCGGTTTATTCAAAGTATCATGGATCTGTAATCCCATTGGCCCAAGTCTTATTCTGTGCCCGCTTTCAATCTCCCTGTTAAACTGTGCGAGGGAGACTACAGATGCTCTCTTGGCCCTTTTCTCCCCAGGCTCTCCCTCTCTCTCCCTCCCTCCTCCTTCCCCCTTCTACCTCAGGAACCTTCCTGCTCCCTGGGATGCGACCCCCAATAAACCCTCATCTAATGAGGGTTGTCTCGGTAACTCTGGATATCCGGAGTGATATGCTGAGTTCCCACACCAAAGGGTGGTGCGACTGCCCTGAATAGCTCCACTCTGTCACGCTTCACATGGAGGAACCACCGTTAGACATGGAAAACCAATTTCTGGAGAGGCCCAGTGCAAGAGATATGGGAGATGGCACAGACTGCAAGTAAGACACTGAAGGGATTTACAAATAATTGTCATTCAATACAGGAAATCTGGATGCAAAGACTTCATTGCAGCTGTTGTGACAAGAACTGACCAAATTAACTTGGAAGTTGCTGCTTGGTGTGGTTTCTATTCTGGACTCAATGGGATTTTCAATGGCAACAGCAGTTGGCTGAAAACAGCCAATACAAGTTCCTTTCCCTTGACTATAACAGAAAAAGTCTCTTGACAGGATGGCCACACTTCCTCATGGACTCCACAGGCTCCCTACTTTTTGCACCACACCATCAGAGCAAAAACTGTGGGAAAAGTGAGGCAGCAACAAGAAGGGCAAGAGAAATTAGATATAAAGGCAGGACAAAGAAAGAAAGAATGAACTTCTTAGATTACCACAGGATCAGCTGAGGTCAGAGTTAAGATAAGTAATTGCTATTGAGAAAATAAACAGCCAGGCTCATTTTTCTGATAAGGAAGAGATAAGTTTGTGCTTGTTTTTGCATGATGAGTAGCAAAGGGCACCTGGACCTCTCTCAGCTCTGAAGGGTGCGGTGCTTGTTTCCAGCTCCTGTTTTATGTGCAATCGAGGAACTGAGGATGCCAAATGTGAGATAGCCAGGTGCCTGCTTGGAGGAAAGCCTTCCCCATTGCAATATCAAAGGGCATCAAGGCTTGGGTGAGCCAGGGCTGCAGGTTTGTTTTCCTCTCAGAAGGGATAAACCTTGTGTGGGTTATACCAGGGAGCCTCTTGGAGCTGGCAGGGAGTGATGGAGCAGCTCTGCAGGCTTTGGGCCCCTCACCCTGCCATTGCTTTAGCTCCAAGAGGAGCTAAAACTTTCTCATACGTTCACCTGTGAGTGGGACTGGCTGCGATGGGTGGATTTTTTCTCAGTGGCACTAAGGAAAGAGAGCAGCAAACCGAAACCTCAGCAGCACTAAAACTACAGCAAAAGTGTAGGTTTCATCCTGGAAGTGTTCGGTTCACCCACTAGATTTGCTTCCCAGCTGTGAGGTGAGATTGCTGACCCCCTCAGGCTCTGGGTCCTGCAAGCAGGAAAAGGTTGCTCAACCCCACGAGTGTGGGGATGATGCCCAGAGAAGCTGTGCATCCCTGGCAGTGTTCAAGGCCAGGCTGGACAGGGCTTGGAGCGAGCTGGGCTAGGGGAAGGTGTCCCTGCCCATGACAGGGAGTGGAATGGGAAGAGCTTTAAAATTCATTCCAACCTAAAGCAGCCTGTGATTCTATGTAATTTGATTCCCTTGGTTCCTGTATGATGGATCAGGCTTATCCAGGGAGGAGTCCTTGTGTAACTGAACCCAGACCCCTTTTTCTGGTGCTAAGCAGCCTCTGGGAAATGCAGGTTGGTGGCTGATGACAGGAACCTGCCTGATTCTCCCTCAGGTTTTTTGGGGTTTTTTTAACACTGTGTAGATACACTAGCTCTAGAGGAAAAACAACCCATACAAGCAAATATGTAAGTTGGAAAGGAATAGAAATTTTTGTGAGAGCAGGAAGCAAATCACAGAACACAGATCATTTCCAGGGCAGCTGTTTCTGAAGCCATTAATAGGAACCTTGGGAAAATGGAGAGGGTTTTAAGGCAGGATCTGTGCTCTTAAGCCCTGTGCTGGTGAGAAAGAGGTGTTTATTCAGTTATACTTTGTCCTTACTGGACTAGATACCTACTTAAACCTGCGGTTAATTTAATGTTTTCAGTTGACCAGTTGTTTAAATAAGTACTGGGAGGTTTAGGTGAAAAACAAAAAAAAAAAACCCCAAACAGAGAGACCTCTGAGAAGTGGCTGTAGCCTAAATTCCTATGATTTGGTTTAATCAAATCATCCAAACATATCAAATCATAGTACCTTTGTTTTTCTGAGCTGGCCAGAAAAGCAGCATTGCACTAACTTTGGCTAATGATGAGATTGTGATCGTCACCAGAGTGTCTCAGGGCTCACAGTCTGAGTTGATTTCCAAGGTCACCATGCCAGCCTTCAGGTACTTCTTAGAGCCAAGATATTGGCCCTGATTGCTGCAAGCCTTGTGTTAAACTTCCAGACACTTGAGGAGTTGGAAACTTGGGATTTCTCTGCCTGTTAATGAAGGTTTAATTGCTGCTGAGACATATCCCCATGCAAAGTGCAGGCCAAGAGGAAATCAGCCTGCGGCAGCTTACACAAGATGTAAATGCAGTTTGTGGTCCCCCGGGCCCAGCCCTGTGGTCTCATGTTCTCCCACAAGATCTGTGATGATCCTTACACAATTTAGGACTGGATTCCCAGCTGGATAAGGTAAGTAGGGCCAGCTCTGCACAAGCCTGAGCTCCTTCCGCTCAGAGCAGCTCCTCCATGGGATCACATTCAGATCCAGCACAGAGGAGCTCTTACCTGGAATGAGACCACCATGGCCCATTGCCCTGCCTGAGGAAAACTATGGAAGTGGTGTAAGAAAAAGACCTGTGGATTCCTTGTCTGAGGAACAATCTGCAATTTGAATCGCTTCTTCTCTCTCCCTCTCCCAGTAATCCTTTTTCTTTTCTTACCTGTTGACCAATGGCTTCAATAGACTTTGAGGAACTATTCATTCTTCCCATAGGATTATGTTTCTGAGCAGCAATGACCAAACCAGGGCTATAATATTGTGTGTGAACAGGCAGATTCCATTACTCCCTATGACTCATTTACTTTGGTTTACACTCACCTGCTGGGCACTATTCAAAGGGAAATAGGAGAAATTCCTCTGCAGTCTGTAGATAATGTAGCTCGAAAAGAGACTGAAAAAGGATAATTACAGAAGATTTTTCCAGGTGTGGAAATTTTGGTTTTTACCTAACAGGAATGTGAAGACAGGAGCTGGCAGGGATAAAATGAGGGCAGGATGTATCTACCCTTGTAGCAAAGTGATGAACTCTTTGCACATCTGAGACCTTCAGGATATAAAAGTAAAGACTTCTATTGTGAAACCAGCAAGAATTTGCCTCTTAAATCTCAAACTGCTGTCACTCTTGTCAGCCTAACCAGATAAAATGCCTTAGATTTCTTTTTTCCTAATATCCTAGTTAGTATGATTATCCTTTGCCTTGTTTATCAAGTTTAGAGGGCTCTCCATCAGCCTGTCAAAGAGCATCAAAGAAATATAAAAGAGGAAAGAAAAATCACACCCCTGCAGCTCACAGACATTGTGCAGAGATATTGCATGAAAACAATTCAAAAGTGAGGGAGCAGTTTCCTGGGAAAGTGATTTGTGTTCTCCTTTGTGCCTGGAAAGAAATGTCGAGTACTACCATTTTAGAGATTCCATGCTGACTATCACAATATATTTAGAGTTCTCGATTAGCTTTAAGACCCTGCAGAACAATTTTAGCAAAAGCAAATATTAAGGTATGGAAACTTACCTGAGTTCTGCATTCATGAGTCTTTCACCCAGTCCATGACTGTAAGATTATTGCTTGCCATTTTAACGTGACATTTATATTTCACCCCCACAAACAGGAGTAACCTAACACAGACAGCCAGTTTGGAAATGATTTGTCATGAAAATACAACTCAAGTGAATCAACTGATGCTGCTGAGCCTGGTGTTAAAAGCAAAAGATGACTCTTGGATTTTTGACCAGACAACAGAAATAGATGTCAGATGCCATTCAAATGAAATCAAAACTGGATCTCGTTGGTGGTTAAGACACATTCACTGAGGACAGTAATTTCCACCTGGGTGATGAAATCCCCTTTTTGTTTGGTTGGTCGCAAAACCCTCATCAACATAAGTAAGTCCCTATCAAGGTTGTTTCATTTCAGCCTATGGAAACAATTACTCAAACCTGCATGAATTAAATAATTGCCAGAAATAAAAAAAAAACAACAAATAGCGATAAACTCGCTGAAACAACAGAATGAATTTTCAATGGGAAATGTACAATTTTAGGCAAAGGAACATTACCTTAGGCAGTGGTTTCCTCTTAGCACAGTTGATCCCCCCTACAAAGACCATGTT